CGGATTAACTCTCATAGTCGTCACAAAGTTTGCTCCCAAGGTTTGCTCGTCGTAAAGATTTTTGTCATAAACACCTGTCGCAAGTTTTTCATTTTTGTGACCGAATTAATTTCCATCATAACTTGCAACGACATTTGCGTCCAACTTTTTAGTGACCAAAATTTTGACATATTTCCGTCGCAATTATTTTACAATCGCAATTTTTCGTCTCAAATTGCGACGAAATATTTTTCGTAGCAATTTATGTCGCAATTTGCGACGGGTTATTTTCCATCGCAAATTGCCATCGCAATTTCAGCATTTTCTAGTAGTGACTTAATCATAATGGTTTTATTATTATATATAATTTTTAATTAGTACAATGTATTGTCTTGGAATGTATTAAAACTTTTAACATTGAGGGCAGACACCGATATCTTTCCCTAAATAAAGTTGAACGAGGAAAAATAAGATGCTAGATATAAGTGTTAGGAATGAGAAGATGCATTTTTTATGTCATAACTATAGTGTATGTTTTCGAGCTGAATAGGATTATGAAATATCATATAAATTGTCTATTTTTATTTTTATTTTTTTTGGAGAAGATCATTTGTTTATTTTGTCAGAAGTGATGTGTTCTTGAAATTAGGAGAGCAAGATACGGGAGTAATTTAAAATTGATTTTACTAGTAGTTCAAATGTCATCAAATAAAATGAGGATAAATTCAAGAACTTGAATTATAAATTACTTGTTGAATTTTTATATCTTGAAGCATTGCTATTAGGGATGATAAAAATATTTAACACAATTCATTGATTTGTTTCCAATCTGGTCTGTAACGCCCCAACTCATTGGTACATGTTACACAAAAGGATATGCAAAATAAACTAAATTTACATACACGTAACCATACAAGCTAAGTATCGTTCAATGATATGTCTGTACTTTAAATACAAGGCATCTCAGTCACGGATCATTACAAAACATCATAAGATCCTGGAAATACAAACAGACATGGTTTACTAATATCAACCACTTGTACTATTCAAAGAGTCATTATACAGACAACCAAGACACAGTAGCCGCTGCACATATATCATGCATTACTTGGGCCGCTATACTTGCCTTGATAATTACATGAAATGAAATTTCAATAGAGTGAGTGTTGCGACTTCGGCAAGTGCACCGGTCGTAAAAGTAATAAAAGTGTACTGAGTACGAGATCGTTCCCACGAGGATTGGATTTCAATCACTAGTTCATTAATCGCGGTTTAGTTGGACAACCAAGATTGAGATGAAGAAAATAGAAAAATTAAAACAAGGAGTAGCATTCAATTTCAGAATTTAAACAAGATATTATAAAGAAATTTGTTTTGAAAAACAAGAAATAGCGTAATTAAGGTTTCGATTTCCCCCAATATTCTTCTTATGTCATGGATTAAATAAACAAGTACTCGTCCTTAATATAATGTCAGTCGATTCCTATAAAGTAATTAAGGTTCAGTCCCTTGTTACCTTAATTCTATGTAATCTTGAAAGAATCTTAGTTCCCCGGTTGTTCCCCAAGAAAACATGCATTAACAACAAGAATCTAAAGATTGCATAATTACATATGTCTATCCTTAGATCACAAGGATTATGATGAATTTATCAAATCAAGGTTTATGCACCAACATCCTTATTGTCATACAATTCCCCTAAATCAATCTACAATGAGCAAACTCATATAAAGAATTAAACATAGATAAATTCATTCAATTATAAAAAGGAAAATTACATAGACAATTTAATTAGTAAACATAATAATTCAATTGGGTTCCATCTACTCTTAACTACATAAAAATCTAGCCTAACATAGCGAAATCAAAGACAAGAGAAAGTAAAGAAAATCCCCCAAACTCCATTGGTGTGATGGCGTGAAGAATCCTCAAAACCCCCAGCTTGTTCTTGAATTCAAACTGCTCCTGAGGCTCCAAAGCATAAAAGACGTGTTTCTCTCTCCAAAATAGGATTTCTCTTCTCAATTGTTCCAAAAGTTGAGTTGTTTCTTAATGAACCCTTTATTTATAGTGAATAAATCATATCTTTTAATTTCTCATAGGATCTTATGGAATCATCACTGAAATCTCATATCGTATCTTCAATTGAATGATTTTATAATTTAAATCTGAATTGCATCGCAACTGGACGTTTAAATGTTGAAATCAACATTTGAACGAGCGAGAACTTGCTTTTTTTCCTGCCACAGAACATTCAAATGTTGATTTCAACATTCAAACTCTCAATCAGCCATGTCCTTCTCTTAGCGCGTTAGAATGTTGACAGTGACATTCAAATGTTGATTAGCACATTTTTCTCTGTTAGATGGCGTTTTAATGTTGGAAATAACATTTGAACGCGCTCCTTGGTCGTGATTTCTTTCATGCTAGCGCATTCAAATGTTGGATATGACATTTAAACGCGCTATATATGGAAAAAAATATTTCTACAGCCACTTTAAATAAGGTTATCTACAGTTACCCAAAAACTACGTCGTTTTGATTAAAGAATAGTGTTTCTGTAATTTTTGGTGAATTAATGAAGGGTTTTCAGTAAAATGTATATAATAAAAAAAAATTACGAAAAATTACAGAAAATTATGGAAACACCCTTCATTAATCAAAACGACGTAGTTTTGGGGTAGCTGTAGATAACCTTATCTAAAGTGGCTGTAGAAATATTTAGCCCTATATATATATATATTGAAAACAAATATTTCTACAGCCACTTTAGATAAGGTTATCTACAACTATCCCAAAAACTATGTCATTTTGATTAATGAAGGGTGTTTATGTAATCTTAGGTGAATTAATGAAGGATATTTCAGTAAAATGTATATAATAAAAAAACAAAAAAAATTATGAAAATACACTTCATTAATTCACCTAAGATTATAGAAACACCATTCATTAATCAAAACGACGTAGTTTTTGGATAGCTGTTGATAACCTTATCTAAAGTGGCTGTAGAAATATTTACCCCTATATATATATATATATATATATATATATATATATATATATATATATATATAATAAGGAAGGTTATACTTACAACCTATTTTCGTTTACAACTTCTTGCAACCATATCTTAACCGTTGATTTCCGTCAATCAACGGTTAAGATTTTTAAAATCTAATTTATTAATTAATTATTAATTAACAATAAATGACAACAGTTGATTGACGGAAATCAACGGTTAAGATATGGTTGTAAGAGTTTGTAAACTATTTGGGTTGTAAATGTAACCCCTATATATATATATATATATATATATATATATATATATATATATATGTAGGCTTTAATGTTTCTAAAGTGAATGTAAATAAGTTATCTATATTCGCTGCTAAAACGACGTCGTTTTGTATTGAAAAATTAAAAAGTTATAAGAAAAAAGACTATTATAACTTTGAAATAAATTATAATTACAAAAATACTTTGATTTCCGCCTAAAAACGACGTCGTTTTGAGCTCAATGTAAATAAGTTATCTACATTGACGGTAGAAAAAGCAAATCCATATATATATATATATATATATATATATATATATATATATATATATATATATATATATATATATATATAGAGTGAGCATTTTGCCACATCTTGCAAAAAAATTTACCAGACTGCCACGCCAACAGTAAATTTTGCCAAAATGCCACGCGGCATATTTCGCTACACTGTGTAGCGAAATATGTTTGCATATAATTCGCTACACAGTGTAGCAAAATATGCCATGTCAGGCTGCACAGTCAGCAAAAATGACATGTGTCAAGCAGATAAAATTCAAGCATAATTCGCTACACAGTGTAGCGAATTTCTACCTGCTTGACACGTGTCATTTTTGCTGACTGTGCAGCCTGACATGGCATATTTCGCTACACAGTGTAGCGAAATATGCCGCGTGGCATTTTGGCAAAATTTACTGTTAACGTGCAGTCCAATAAAATTTTTTACCAGACGTGACAAAATGGTCTTGTTCCTTTATATATATATATATATATTACAAAGAAATAAATACACCTAACACTTAGATTCATGAACCTAATCAAAAGATAGCGCTGAGAGCCTGATACTTTTGGATAAGTACTAGATTCAGATCCTACATATAATTTATCAAAGATTTTAAAGACATCATCAAGAAGGTTTAACTACTTCCTTTATGTTCAATAGTATCTTGCAGTGGTGTGTTGGACCTGCTCCAATAGGGACAATTACAATTAGTATGGGCCAAGCAGTATTCTGGACCATGTTATGCTTGGAGGACCACCACATGAGAGCAATTAATGTACAAAAAAAGTATCTAATATAATAAAATGAAAATTCTAAGAAGGTGACGACTTCTTGATGTCCTTTTCCACCTCCAAATGTGACTATTTGTTTAAATTTGGGGATCTATGATAAATTAAATAAAACAGAAGAATTGATCCTTAAATTAAAATGTGAGCAATCTACTGGGGATCATAATCATTTGGTAAAAACCCAATTTAGACTTGTGATAATGGCAATAAAAAAATTGAAGTTGTAGAATAAAAAATATGGATGAAAAGGACAGGAGATGACATGTTATTGTCTTGGGAACACCACCAATTTAAGTATGTGGGATGCAAGGTCAGCCAATTAACACCCCAAGCACTAAAAAAGAGGAAGGAAATGAAAGAAGGCATATACATATCATATAGTGATATAGGGTACCTCTCCACTATGAGTCTCCATTTAAGAATTGCTTGAAGTTGGTCAATCTGGTGCTGCCTAAACCGCAAAAGTAGCAGTTATTTCTACATTGATACAAAAATAATATAATGTTAATCATGACTCCTGGCCCTCCAATAACCTTCTAACAACTCATTTTTGAGTCTTACCACCCAATTTTTGAGTACACCCACTTAATTTTATTTTGGTCCATAACCATGATAAAAGGCAATTATCATATTCAACATTATGCTATTACAATATCATAGTACACAAGAAGGTCCAAAGAGACTTCAGGGTTGTTCTTCTACATTTTCTATGATTTCAAGGCTCAACTATGAATAATTGAATATTAGGTGAAGAACCATCTATGAAATAAATAAAAAAAAAAAAAAAAATTCATTAATAGAAAAAGTGTTCTATCTTTGCTCTTCTTTACAGTGTTGAAGATATAATGTCACTTTGCTATTGCTTTACACAAGAACATGTTCCTCAAAACATGAAATTTATCTAACTTATCTTCATGATTATTGCCTGGAAGGTAGGCACAGAGCTCCATGATTTCATTTAGAACCTATTTCATGTGCAGAATCAAGGCCTTCCCCATGAATTAAATACCAATTGGCTTTGCCTTATGATGGAGAACTGTGAATAGGCACGTGTTTGGCTAAGATCATATGCTTGTCAATGGTTCATCTTGCATTTGAAAACATTCATGAGGATTGGCATAAAAGTAGTCTTCTTCTTTGGGTCTGTCTGGGGTGACAACTCTTCTTTTGTGGCTTCCCATCCTATTGGCATGAACTTTCTTCACCACAATGGAAAACTCATCCCAGCTTAATGACTTATTGGTGTATTGATCTATGAGGTGCACCAAAAGCCTCCTATCCAGTAGTATAGTCTTTTTGAAACCTAGGAATCTGAAGATAAGGACGTAAGATATCAGAAGCAAAAAAATAATATCAAAGAATATGGTATCATGCAATCTAAATATGATAGTTTTAGCATCAATCAGGAAAATTAGTAAATGAAATTTATTGGACCAGAGTTTTCCATAAGAGGCTTGGTTTGCAAGCACACTCCACCACTGTTGCATAGACAAAAATAAAATGAAATGCACAAAACCACTCCCAGTGAAACCTCGACTAGCGAGGGTAAGGGTGAGGACAATCCTTGTATACAGTCTTACCTTTATATATTTACAAATAGGTTGTTTTCCGGATTCAAATGAAATTAGAACATTTACCCTGTACATCAAAGGATGAGGTCACTGAGAATATGACACAGAAAAAAACAATATAGTAATACCTTCGATGGCCTTCCACAACTTTAGCCATGTTCCCATCATATGTTGGAATAAATATATCACTCTCTAGAGACACGAGATAATCCAGTGCAGCCATTTGTGATGAGTGGTTCTGAAAATACATCAAATCTGAAGGTTCCAATAGAGTTTCCTTCTTTACCTGTTGTAGTTAAACCAAATATTAGTTACAAATTTTACATATAGATACAAAAATATGATTTTGCTTCTTTCTACTAACCTCATTAGGAAAAGCTGCAAGTAAACTTGCCATCCTTCTCTCTCCACCATATATTTCACCAGCAGCAATATAAATTTGAACACTTTGATCTATGCCTAATGCTCTCAATGTTAGAGCAGTTTCCTCAGGTGTCAAAGGGCATAAACCATCTTGCCTCTTAAGTTCAGAATTAATGACTTTTTCCTTCCACCAGGGATAAGCATATCTAAGAAACACAATTTTTCAAAATTACATTCAAAGGGTAACTAAAAAACAAAATAGATGTTGTGACACAGTAATATAAGATTTAGAATACCTCATTCTTGTGAGTTCCTCCACCTCCTTGCTGTCACATCCATGAGCACAGCCAGAGAAGGCCAACATGTCCATCTCATATCTAAGATGAAGTACAAGGAAAGGTCCTCTTTCCCTTAAAATCCTCACTATCTTTCTGCCAAGTTCCTCTATCTGGGAAGTGAACCTCAAAGCATTAAAATTTACTCGGCATCGCAGCTTTTGAATCTCAGGAGGTAATCCATTATTAGCAAGTCGAGCATCAGTTCTATTTAGGTGCACAACCTTGTGTTTGTGTAACAAAGGAAGGATCTATAAGAAACAAGTTGGAGAATTAGTTGCATTAAGGTAACCCAAGCAAAAACTGATGAATCAAAGAAATAATGTTAACTGAGTAAAGACCTGTTTTTCATAGTATGAAATATCTGACCAGCTAATAGGTGCCAATGAGTAGGATAATCCTAATGCAACTCTTCTCTTGAGCCTAGGTGGTAGTTTCTTTAATATTCTAACCTCATCTCTTAAGGAAGCAATGAAATGATCTACATCAAATATGTCTTGGAACTCACTGCCACATTAAGGTAACAGAAATGAGGACATCTCAGTTAAGAAATCTGGATGTTATGATAATCATAGAAGGAGATGCTTCCTGAACTAAAATTATGATAGCATGAATAATAAATATGCAAACCTTGGATCAGCCCAGAAAGATGTTTTATCCAGCTCTGGTACTATGAGAGTGGCATTTAAATGTCTGGCAATAGCAACCATGTCACATATCTGCAGAAGAGAAAACCAATTTTTTGAGAAAGACAGAATCAGATCATGATTGCAGTAAAGGTAGCTAAGCATTGGCACTCACTGCTGCTCTCATTTGGTTGAGTCCTCCATTGCAAGAAACCATAAGATAACCATTATTCTTATAAATCCCTGGTGACAAGAATTATCAAATTCAGCCAACAGAGTCATAAGAAGTCATAAAATTTTTAGCAAATATAAATAAATCTCACCATTCACAGAAAGAGAAATCATAGACCATCTAATTAGGACTTTTTTTTTTTTTTTTTTAAAGGAAAGAAATTCTTAAAGCTTACAAGTAAGCTACAAAGACTTTAACAATCATATGACAAGCCAAGAACTTACTTTTGGGTGGGAGCACAACCTTGGCTGGAACATAAGCCTTTGCTACAACTGGAGATGCATTTGGGTGGCTGAAACAATAAGGCATGCCCTTCAACAACCTTGGCCCCAAAAACTCCCCTAGTGCCATCATCTGAACCACACTAGTCCAAAGTATCACAGTAGTAATGGCACGAGTCATCCACACCTTGATTCTAGGCCTTACAATCAACCTCTTGGACTTCACCATTTCCCCAGAACCCAAAACATTGAACCCCATCTCCATCTCCTCATTATCACAGTGATCACCTTTCCCATCAGATAATTTTGCCCACCTTAACATCATTTTTTGTTTTTTAGTTTCACTTTTGCTCACACCCCTCTTACGTGTGTGAGTTTAACTCTTCAGTCTTCAATCAAAGCCTTGATAAAATATTATTAAAAAAAAAACCTTGAACTCAGTGATGCTTAATAAATGCCAAGAATCAAGCAATATTGAGGCTTGAATTTGGGATCTTTCAACCAAAAAAATAAATGCTAATTAACCATTGACCTCATAATTATAATTAATCTGAAGCAAATAAAAGGATATCATATCAACCCACCCCACCAAATAAGGCAATGCTATCTGAATTAACTCACATCAGTAGCTGACACCTTGAAATCATAAAACCTCATTGAATTTTCAGAATCCTTAGCACATAAACATTGTTAGCATTGTCTCCTTCATCTAACAGCAACAACGACAAGAACAATCACATTCAAGGTGCACCACATGAGCTTGGAGAGTGAAGAACACCCAGAAGGAAACTTGTGAAACTCAATTGAAATTCCCTCAAATGGGTCTACAATTCATGGGTTTTCAATGGCATTGCTGAAGTGAAGAGCAACACAGAAGAAGAAGAAGAAGAGAAACTAGGAAAAGAGTGTTGTGAGCTCCGTTACTTGAAATAGCAATGGCGAGGTTGGTCAATCCGAAGGTCAACTGTGGTAAATGGAAGAAAAGCAGTTATTTTTGGGAGAACAGTTTTCCGGTGGAATTTTCCGATCCGATGCCGGCGATGGTCGCCGGAGAACACAATCAACAACAATTGGGAGAAAGAAAAATGGAAAGAAGTGATATAAAAAGAAGAAAAAAGGATAAATTTTTTTGGCTATAATTAAGGCGGCAGAGAAGGATGTCATGTGGGACCCTTTTTAACTGCAACAAACACCACTTTCCATTTTTTAAAATTTTTAATTTTTTTTTTTTAATTATCCACCTTAATTTTCCCCCTTATCCTACCTCCTTAAATTATATTTTCAAGATATTCTAAAATAAAAAATCTTCTTACATGCTTTTATGCACATTTTGTTTATTGTGAGATTAGTTTTTTTGGTTCAGGTACATATATTGGAAATGGATTTTATGTGAAAAAAATATGATATGGTCATGTGAAAAGATCATGACTGTACAAAGATTGAGTGAGTTGTTATCTTCAATCTATATTTATTGAATTTTAATAAATGATAAATGCATGTGAAATTCAGTTGGGATAGTGATGGATCCTAGGCAGAAAATTTGTCAGTTCTAAAGAAAAAGTTATATTTACAAGCTTTTTTTCTTCATAAATCCTTATAAATTACAAATATCTGATCGGTAATATACTCTTGAATAGAGTATGTCAGACATAGTGTATTTTGTAAATTTATAAAAAAAAATTACCAATAGAACCCTACTTAAGTTTCAATTTTTAAAAGTTTCAAATATTATAATGTGAATTAGTTATACTTATATTTTTGGATTTCGAACACTTATAACATATTTTTATTATGATCCTCTAGACATACTCCTAATATAAGTTATGTTTTGAGAAAGTTGATAAAAATTATTACAAAACAATCCTTTACCGATCCAGCTATCATTTTTCTCAAAAATAATGGCCCACAAATTTTTTCACTTTTTGCTGTCCTCGTAGTAAAAGTAAAAGATGATATAATTATATGAACGTTGAAATAGATTGATTTTTTTTTTTATTAAAGTTTCATTATGTTTGAGTTTTCTCAAATTGGATGTGGGGAACACACTTGTCTATTTTAATTTTTTTGAGAAAAATTAAAAGAATCAACGAGACATTCGTGTAGCATACAAAAACTACTGAAATACCAAAACCATAAAGAGGAAAAAAAGATAACTAACCAAAAATTAATTCTTAAAATTAGTGATATCATTAAAAAAGTATACATCTCTACATGACTACATCGAATAAAGTTTCAGGACCCAATGAGTGCAGCTCAGTTGGTAATTTGGCGCTGAGTTAGTGGGGTTGGATATGTGTTCGATTCCCGCTGAATGCATTCTTGGGGAGGAGGCTGAACCTTTAGCCATCACTGTTCCCCCGCACTCCGGATTAGTCTCATAGCCGGCTCAAAGAGTCGAAGCTCGTGGGGAGCCAACTCATCTCAAAGAGATAAGTAGGGTTGGGTAACTAAAAAAAAAAAAAAAGAAATTAGGAATACAAATGCTAAAAAAAAAAAAAAAAAAAAAAAAAATTGAAAGCTTCGTAGGGAAGCTACCCCTTAGCCTCTATCAAAGCTAAGGCTTTACATTTGTGCCTACCCTTTGTAATAAGCTCCTATAATATGGGAGTAAAATTTCATTCTTTAATTGTACCACAAAAAAAAAATTCATTCATTACTTGGCTATATTTAACCCTTTTTTTTTTATCTATCTTTGAAATTTTTCTCATCATTCGATACCCTTTCTATACCGAGTTTCTATATGTATGGAGTAAGCACATGGTGGATATGCTCACGATGATAACACATTTTTATTGTAGAAAATTTATATCATTTAATTTCAAGGGGTAGCACAGTTGGTGACTGTACCTAAGAAGCGAACTGCTATGAGCCTATGATCATGGTACTTAAAATTGGAATTTTATCTAAAATTAAAAAAAGATAAAAAATCATAAAACGTAAAATCTTAACTTAAAAACAATCATAAAAACGTTTGGAAATTTGATAGAATCATTTTGATTAAAAAAAATCATAAAATCATAAAAATGCAAATTTAAATCAAAATTTTAAGTACCATGACTATCACTGAAAGGTTATTAATTCAATTCCTAGGCAAAGCAACTTGAAGCCAAGGTATAAACTTTTATGCTCTACCCAATAAAGGTGAGTCTCTCATCAAAATGGGTGGAAATATCCCTGGAAAAAAAAATAAAGGTATTTGAACATGCCTCACATTTGGACACTTGCACAAAACTTCATAGAAAAGGTATTTTTACAAATATATGGATTAAATTTTGATATCCACTTCTGATTAAAAAGAAATTACTGTATCTATTAAGAGAATATTTTTTTAAATTATTAATTTAATTTTGATCTAACAATAAAAAAATTCTTATAATAGATTGTATCATTGTAAGGAAAAAAATTGTAAGTACAACGTGCCTCGAGATTAATTAATTCATTAGTTTAGTTTATGTTGGGAAAAATATTTTTTTAGAGAAATAATCATTTTGTTTGATATGTTCTCGCAAAAAATTGTGAAAAAAATATTTTTAAAATAAATTAATTCAAAATACACATTTAATAATTATATAATAAATTAGTCTTGAAAGACTCATGTGATTTTCAACAATTTTTGGTTTAATTAGTAAAATAATTATTTCAAGACGTGGAAATAAAAAAAATGGTATTGAAATAATAGCACCTATATATATGGATTCGACGAAACTCAAACCGAATTAGTCATTTTGGTTATAAATAATGGGAAATGTAGTTCTCCTTTCATTATGTACTCGGGATATATAGGAGAAGAGATAGGTTATTTTACCTACTCCTTTCTTGCCTACCTTTTGCTTACTCCTTTCATTACCGTTGGATTACAATCTAATCCAACGGTCCATAATTGTGAAATAAAATAACTCTTTTTTTTCCTTTCTCTCTCCTCACTATTTCCCACACCCTTTTTCTCTGTGGTTGATATAGAAAAAAATGATTATTTTATTTCGCAATTATGGACCGTTGAATTAGATTGTAATCCAACGGTGACGAAAGAGGTAGGCAAGAATGGAGTAGGTAGAATAACCTATCCTATTTAAAAATGGTCTGCTGACGTGAAAAAGAAAAAAAATAATTTTCATATTTTTTTAGGTACATAATGAAAATCGGTTGATGCAGAAATAAAATTTTAGGAGAAAATTTGAACCCATAAATAAATAAATAAAACTCATGTGGCTGAGTCCGCTTAGTGTTGTGTTCTTCTTTAACAAGTCATACCGGGTGACCGAGCCAGCTTTAAAGTCATATTGAAGCTAGCTTTGTGTTGTGTTCTTCATTAATGTCATATCGTGTTTTTCATTAACAAGTTTGTCATATATCGTGTTTTTCATTAACAAGTTTGTCATATATCGTGTTAATATGCCGTGTTCTTCTTCAACAAGGCATTGCTATTCGGTGCAATCGAGTAAGCTTAATGTTCTGTTCTTTTTTTATAATAAGGAAATTCATATTGCACCATCAAACACTTTTTTCTTTTCTTTTTGAATTTCTCTATCTCTTTCTTCTTTTTTGATATAGTCAAACTTATGTTAGGAAATTAATTAACCGGTAGCTTAAAATGATAATTGATGTTAACATCAATAATTTTATATTAATACCTCGAACGCACCTCTTATTCAAGAGCACAAACTTAAAATCATGGACTAATTCATATGTGTTACATTCGTTAATGAATCCGTCCATAATTGTGAGCGGAATTATAATTGGTTTAATGCAACCAATTTAACTTAATAACTTTTTTTTTTAATTTCTCTTCCTGTTAATCACATAAATTTTGTATGAATTAATCCAGAATATAGGATTAAGATTTTAAATATCTCTCTATGGTATTTGGGAGAAGATCAAACACATGCTTTCACCCTCATCTACTTAGCTTTCATGCGCCAACTGAAATATCATCATTTGGTTTTAACTCAATAACTTAATTAAACTAACACATCTCTCCAAAAAGCACAAACTTAAAATCATAGACTAGTTCTAAGTGTATTACGTCTGTCAATAAATCATTATCGACCTCTTATAATGTTTGATATGATCAGACCAATGGAATGACAATTCTATTCCATTTCAATGTTTGGCATACATACTAGAAACATACCAGAATAGGACACAATTATAATGTAATAGACAATAGTGGTGACAATGAGGATGGAGAGGTAGTAATAGAATGGTATTAACAATTATAGGATGGAGTAAAGATTGGGGTTTGCGGCAATAGAGGATATTTTTGGTTTTTTTTTAAAAAAAAATCATAGAATATAAGGGTATTCAAACATAATTTTA